TGTGTTCCTGTGTTATGTTTGTTTATGTATGGTCGCGAAGAAAAAATAGTGGATTGGTAATATCCAAATCGCAATTTTTCATTAACGCAAAAAATTCAACACATTTTGTTGGCAAATATCCAACTGAAAGAAACATGAAATAAACCCGTCTTAAACGTCACTTATGTTGATTGTCTTGTATCTGCATTTTTTTTAATTATAGAATACTCCAAGTTACTCCAATGTTGTTCGGCGAAGGACCGGAAAATTTTACGTCTTCAAACTGAACTAAAATACGAAAGAAAACATCACAGAATTTGTCGCCGAACTGCCCAGCGTAGGAAAGTTTCGTATAAAACCAAATGCGACCAGGTACACAGACTAAACCTAAAATTAAAGGAAAGAGATAAAATCCAAAAGCGCGATAAAAAGATTATCGCAATGGTGAAAAACAATTCCATACTATTGGAATGTTTAGAAAATTCTTTCCATACAAAACATGCCAGACGGTACCGCGTTTCTCGAACGTTTAGCACCCGACAGATGATAGCATCAGCATCAACGTATAAAACGTTAAGAGCAGAAAATGTACTATGTCTGCCTCACCCAAAAACTATTATGAGATGGCATCGAAACATAAGCAATCTTCCAGGATTCAACAAAGAAATATTGAACTGTATAAAAAAAGCTGCGGAAAACATGGCAGAAAAGGATAAAGTAGTCGCTATCCTTATTGACGGTATGTCTATTAAAGCTCATTTAGACTATCACGCGATATCAGATAGGATGCATGGTTTTCCTGATGATGGGAAATTAAATTTGTTTGAAAACAACATCACTGATCATTTGGCAAACGAAGCTATTGTTGTAATGATCCGTAGTGTATATTCTAAGTATAAACAAGTAAGGCAATACTAATTTCTGCACGATTTATACATTTTTTTTAATAAAAAGAACATTGAAACTTTGTTATTGAAACAATCGCCCAGTATTATTAACAGCACCAGAGTAGGGTAAACGTTGTTATACACTCAAAGAATAAATCACATATCCAATGGAAAATATTCATTAGAATTTCACATAACTTTCATGTGATATCATAATTGGGAATTGCACCACAAAATCACATGAACCTTATGTGTCAAATGAAATTTAAGTGATTTATCATATAGAACTCATGTGATCGCATGAATGTAATGTGAAATTCAGATAAATATCATTGGTTTTGTTAATGGAAAAATATTATGTGCATTCCCAATAGAAACTACATGGAAACTTTTTTCCGTGTAGTTGCGGTACGCTAGAAACGTTTGGTTCCTATTATAGTTGACTATACTGTCGTGAAACTCATAACTTTTTTGCTTGATTTCCTATGTATATGTGACAGTGATGCTTTTAACGATAGTATAGGAATGGTACATTTCTTAAGTACCGCAACTATAATGCTGGTGGACGCATAACTGTCCCATGTTTCAAAACATAAATCTCGAAGAAAAAAAAACTAAGTCGATTTTCCCATTTTAAATATGACCGCAATTTAGAGCAATTCAAAATCAATAAATTAAATTAATAATTGTTCTCTAAACATAGCTTTCACAATCAAAAGCACCTAGCTGTGATGATCGGTTCTCTTCATTGGGTTTCTTTTTTAAAAATTTCCAGTGGGACAACATTGCGTCCAATATTTCAAGTGGGACAAATCGACTAGGCATTTTATCGATTTGTTCTAGCATAAACTGCATGTGTATATGTAATATTCCAAAACTGCATATCAAATCATGGCGTTAAGCATTAAACTTCAATTTTTTTGAAAAGTCACATGGGACAGTTCTGCGTCCACCGGAAGCCTTCACCTTATGTAAATGAATCCTATAAGCATAGACAAATAGACATAACATATTGAATATTTCTCATTGTTAAACATCGTCACTAAAACATTACCGCCATCTGTTGAGTACACTGTGATGGGCAGTACGCTGAACAGATGGCGATAGTGTGTAAAAGTCAAACTCAAATGAATTGACTATGCGCGCCTCAGATGGCTTTACTACCAACTACGATACTTTTAAATTGATCGTTAAATGCTTGTTCGATTAACAACTTGCGAGTGTTATGTCTGTTTGTCTGTGCTATAAGGCTGTTCACGAGACAGTTGCGATCAGCTGACTTTTTTGTTTACCAAGAACTTTTGACAGATCACAGTAGAACTGGCAGTTTATTCTCATATGAATTTCTGCTTTGTTTATGTTTACCTTCAGCACCATTAACACCAGAGCACTCAAACACTCTAGATTCCTAGCTGTCAGTTCCACTTAGAAATGTCTCTTGAAAGTATGCAAAAATGATATTTTTCTAAAATAATGGTACATTTGATGAAATTATACGCTGGGGAATATTTGAAAATTATATTACGTAATTTTAAAGCAAGTTAAAGTCAATGTTGCCAAAATGGCTTTTGGCAACATGAAAATTTGAATTTTGTTTATATATTCTTAAATACCATTATTTTCGCAGTTTTTGAACAGGATTCACTAAGGTCGCATTGATTCTTATTGTTAAGTCATTTTCTTTGACACGTTGAAAAAGGTCTCCATTTTGGAAACATAAATGAAGAATTTGCGTTGCCAAAACGAGATTTTACTGTATTGTAATCTAAATATGTATTTATTAAAGAGCTTGAATTCATAAAAGACGACATCTTATCCATTTGACAGGTCTTCTGCTCGATGGGAATAAATTTTCCTATGACTTTGACAGATAATCGATTGTTCCAATTTTGACAAGTCGTCTCTTTATAAATTCAGGCTCTTTAGTATTTATTATAATATTTGGATTTGGTGTTTAGTCAAAAATACCGTAAGGTCACAGTTGTGTTGCCAAAACGAGATCTCACTGTAGTAGTAGTATTAGTAATAGTAGTATTAGTAATAGTAGTATTAGTAATAGTAGTATTAGTAATAGTAGTATTAGTAATAGTAGTATTAGTAATAGTAATATTAGTTATAGTAGTATTAGTAGTAGTAGTATTAGTAGTAGTAGTATTAGTAGTAGTAGTAGTAGAATGTAGTAAGTCATCAAATCGATTGTACAATATTTCGTAGTAACCCTTTTCGTAGAATAGTCCATATTCAAAATGATCAATATTTTAGGTCATCGGCTACTTCCTAGCACATGGGACACTCGGAAGTGGAAGACAAAAAGATATAATAACGGAAGCAATTGTGTCATTGAAAGGAGTAGGATTAGTCCCTGTTGTAGTTATCATGGACCAGCATCCCACAAATGTAAAGATGGCGCATGAATTGGGGGTAACTGCAAAAGAACCTACTTTTAAAGTTGACGACAGTACAGTCGTACTTCTGTACGATACACCCCATTTGTTTAAATCAATACGCAACAATTTACTGGTGAAAAATATACTACTAAACAACAAAATTGTATCATTCAAATACATAAGAGATCTGTACAAATCTGACCTGTCAAGGATTCCACGCTTGGCACCACACCTTACAAAAAAGGCCGTATATCCTAACACGTTCGAAAGGATGAACGTAAAATTAGCAACGCGCACTCTTAGTCGAACGACAGCCAAAGCGATAGAAACAAACATTTCGTTGGGATCGATGCCGGTTGACTCTTTAGCAACATCTGAATTTATAAACGACATTGACCAACTTTTCGATATATTCAACTCTCGGTTTATTAATGAAACCGGAAAGGCAATTCTTCTTACAATATTAAGCTAATGTCAGTACTTACATATATATCTTTCAATTTTAGCCTTTTCGTTCAGCTATTACTGGTACGAGTGAGCATTGGTCTGCTTTAGATAAAATGCTGAATCAGCTGCAGCAGATGGTATTCATTCCACAATCCTGCTTTAATTCACATAAGGTAAATCAAATTTTACAATAATTTTGTCCATTTTCTTCAAAATGTAAATGATTTCTTTTTTTCGCATTCACCTTATTTCATTCATTCATGAAATCAGTTGGAATCAATATTTATGAGATCATATATTCTATAATTTGTCCATTGTTACATCATACTGCAATACGTCTGTCTCTGCTTATTGAGAGACCTTTGATGCTTTATAAGAAAAAACAATCTGTATAGTTTTTTTTATAAAGATATGTTGAATATCAGGGGTGACATTTGATAATGGCACAAAAGCTTTTGCAAACAAAAGTTGTAAGGCCCCTTACACGTGAACCGAACAACGCCCACGTAAACCAACAACATCATTGGCTGGAAGAAATTTTCCCCTTTCGAATAATTGTATTGGTCAATCAGAAGAGAAAAATTGTTAAATTATGCTGATAACGATTCTTGTGAGCAGTATGCGCTCACCAGCATGTTAATCAGCACAACCCAACAAACCTTTTTTAAACCCTGCTACCACACACTATTTTATTCAAAACAGTCTAGGTAAATACTCTGCGTGGGAAAATCAACCATAAAAGCTTTCAATTATTTTAAAATAATCATAATGCTTAACCCTTAAATGTACAATGTTTGAAAACAACACTGCGGAAAAAATTTAAATTTGTTTTTTTAGCTAGATCGTTTATTTGAAAGGATCAATTAGTTTTTCATTGTTTGTAACTTTTAAAAATCAGAAAGTGTGAAATTAATCCATTTTGAAACGTTTTCCATTTTTTTAACCCTTGTACATTTAAAAGTTAAGATGCCGGACTACACCCCTCCCGTTCCCCAACGTGCACTTAAGTTGTGTGATTAGATGTGTTGAAATACAAATTACTTTTAGGCGCGAAACAGCTCACAAAACATGAACTCGATTCAAAGAAATCCACCTTGTGTCAACGGGTTGATACATAATATCTATGGACTAAAAAAGTTATGGATAGTTCTATCCGAAGAACACTCGTTTAACTTCTTGCGAACCAACAAGTTAAATCAAGATCCACTCGAGAACGAGTTTTCGTGCGTAAGGCGGGCCTGCGGTAACAACGATACGCCAAACGCTCAGCAATTTGCAACTGCTCTAAAATATAGTTGCATAAAAAAAAACATGCTTTCAATAACAAACACGAATTGTGAAGACGACAACCACGTACCTATAGCGTGTAATGAATCTGACCAAAACGATCTTCTTGAAAACGACCCTTTGGAAGGATGTGATGAATTTGTATTACGGCCGCTCGATCCTCTTGAAGAAAATGTACCAGTTCCTGATGTATTGGAAAGAAATGCATTGTTATACGTCACTGGATATTCAATATCTAAGCTTACTCACAAAAAATGTATTAAAAAGCTAAACCAGTCACAGGCTGACGACGCACACGATTACACTTTCTGCTTGCTGAAAAAAAACCTCAATTCGAAACACTTCATAGTTCCAAGTAAAAATGCGTTAAAAATAGGTCTGGATGTTCTGAACGCATTCAAGCAAAAGTTCCAGATATTATTGAATGACAATAGGAAAGGTATTAAACTACGACTGAAAGAATATATCGAATACGATCAATATGAATCCGTGATGTGCTATAACTGTTTCAATAAGGTTATCAATAGACTCTTTAATACATTCATTAAAGCAGAGGTTCGAAAAATTCAGCAGAAAAATCTTAACAATAAAAATACCAAAAGAATGAAAAAGAACACAAAAGCCAGGAGGCTGGGTATCCCGAGTAATGTACAAACATCCAGAAAGAATATGAAATCTCGTACAACGAAATCGACCTGTTCTACATCCACTACACGAAATGATAGCAATGTCCATAGCCAACCATTTGAAACAGAATATGTAAACTGTCCTGATGATGGATTTGAACATAATACGGAATATGTTAATGAAGAAAACCCTCTTGATGTTGACGGCGAAAATAATAGCCAATCAGGCGAAGATCAGGAAAACCAAAAAATGAACGAATGCATTAAAGCGCTAGAAGAATTACTGAAACATTTACCAGAACAACGAAAAATTGAAGTCGAGAAAAGGTATCAGTTTAAGCGAATTTTTAAGATAAATTTTAGTATTTTTTTCGCTAACGCTCTATTTTTTAGAGATTGCTTCCGATTAACAATAGCTGAAATAAACGACACATTTGCAGAATTCAAGCCTGAACTCCAATGTATTTTCGACAAGTATAAAACATTTTCCAGTTATCAATTGGCCAAAATTCACACGTTGGCTTCATTTGAACAAGTCTGTCGAATTTTTACGGATGACCAACTTTACGCGATGGTATTATATCTAGACAGCCAACTGGTTTCACCTGAAGATACAGGATTGGTAATGCATTTAAAAATAAACGTTTTCCATTCACCCTCACTAAACTCCGATTTTTTATTTCATTTTTCAGTTCACCGACGTTATTGACGACGTTCTCGTGTATGAATGGGCAATAAGAATCTTTACTAAAATTTATCGTTTTCCTAATCGTGAAGAAGCCCTTAAACATATACAACTACAAGAAGAGGCGGAAATTTACAATTGACATATAGAAGTAAGTAGACAACATTTTTAATGACCCCATTCGGGTACTTTTTTATTACCGTGTCTTTTCTTACCGTGATGATATTTTGATCTCCGACTTTGCTCGGGTAAAATATACACTTCGACAGTGAGCATTCATAAGGGCGTATACGCGATGATCGATTCTCTTCATCGAATTTCTCTTTGCATTGCTACAGCTAAGCGAAACAATTTTCTAGAATTTGTTCAAAGCAGAGTTGTAACAAGTTGTATTAGCTATCAAAAGCAATAGCAAACGTACCGAGAAACGTTAAATCTAGCGAGTTATTAACAAAAGAGAAAATCGATGAAGAGAATCGATCATCGCGTATAGGCCCTTATGCATGCTCACTGTCGACTTGTACCTCCCATACACGGCGAATGAGAACGACCCCAATTTGAGTTTAGTTCACTCATAATCGCCAAAAGTGCAGGAACTCAGCGATGAGTAAAATTTGTCTCATGTTTTCCCAGGTTTTTCCAGGATTTACCGGCAGATTTTTTAGGGAACCATGAGACAAATTTACTCATCGCTGAGTTCCTGTACTTTTGACGATTATGAGTGAACTAAACTCAAATTTGGGTCGTCCTCATTCGCCGTGTATAAAGCTTTCATATAGTTAAAATCAATAAAGAACATTTTTATCGTTGAGGTCAAGGTTCAGATCCATAAATCAACATTAGATTCCCTTCGCCCACTTACATTTTTAATTATGCAGCAGAGTTGCTCTCCTTAGTTGTTAGATGCTTTTTAAGGTGTTTCGCTGTGAGATCCTTATTCTCGTTTCCACTTCGAAACTTTAAGTGCACAAATATCAGCTTCCACGACACGTACCACAATGAAACTGTTACTCCACGTTTGCTGTACTGCAGCATACATCAAGTAGCAATTTCATGTGAAAGGGGGCATTAATTGCCAAGAGTTGTGTGAATGAAAATTCGAAGTGGAAGAGCATTGTATAACCTACGTGGCGGACTCTACAAGGAATCACCTTAAATATTCCGTAATGTAACATGGGTTAATGGTACACAGAAAAAAAAAAGTTGTTGAATATTACACCTAAACAGCTGCACAGAGATCATTCCGCCGGTTATGTAATATTACGTTGTACGATGTACATCGATTTTGCGAACAAAATTACGTCCATTGATGTAATATTGTATCTGCTTTTTGCTATTACATCATTATTTCATAAATCAGCTTGAATTACGTTGATCGATATTACATTTTTTTCTGTGTAGTCTGACCCTAAATAGATACTGCCAGCACCATCACCATTCACATCGTCATCATAATGTCCAGCCAAACCCGACAGCTGCTCCCCCAGGAAAGAAGACGCACATCGTACGCAACAACTACAGCATCCGCAACGGGGAGGTTTTCGTGGAAAACAAGCTAAGTGGAACGCCAAAACTACACCAGCAGCAGCAGCAACGACCCAGGGAGGACGATACCGATGACATCACCACCGAAGAAATGAAGGACTGGTTATCGAAATACGTAATACTACATGCTGTGAATGAAGCGGAGCACCCGCAAAAATAACCTCATCTCGCAGAAGAATGCCAACGTAACAACAAATCCTTCGGATATGCTGAGCAGTAAGTTTGGACCGCTGCCTTCGCTTTCGCCGCCGAAAGTGTACGTCAGCGATCGGCCCGATATTCGCCATGAAGATCACCGAGAAGAAGTGGGATATTCCCGCCGTACAACGTACCATGGTTACATGGTTTAGATCGCCACGGGCTCTAACCCATCCGGAAGCAACTTCCAAACTAATGTAAACTGTCGTAAGGATGCAAATAAATAAGAGTTTATAAGGGAATTTCTGCAATCGGTTGTGTTGGTGCTTATTTATTGGTTGAAATGCTATGAAAGAACATATATTTAGATGTATAGTTTTTATGCAAATATTTATTGTGAAGTATGCGGTTTATGTATTCGCATAACCACAAACCTATTTTGGGCCGATCAAGCAGAAAACATCAAATAAATCCATGATTTCAGAGTTAACAATTATGGGTTTGGTAAGATACTTTAGTCAATTAGCTATTGAACAAAGTCAATGAGAATGCGTGATTTGAAGCTTTGCACCCATAATTCACAAAAACAAAAGAAGCGCTCCGTTCGAATCAATTTTTATCTTCATCCGATAGGCCGAAGTGAATTCATTGGCGTTTCAATGCGTTAGCCGAGTTTAGAATCCGTAGGCCGAGTTTGGCATCAAGAAGCAGTGTTAGACTTTTGACTCGTATGTGCAATCTTCCAGCAAGCAAGCGCATTGCACTAATATGTGTAGTTTATGCTGAAAAAGTAAAATTTATTATACAGAATCCAGAATCCAAAATCAACTCAGGCACATTTGATAACGGCACAAAAGCATTTGTAAATAAACTTTCTAAGGCCCTTTACACGCGAATACCAATACCACTTTCGGAAAAGTGATAGTTGCCCCTATCCGATGATGTTGGTTTGCGTGGGCGTACTTTGGTTCGCGTGTAAAGGGCCTTAGAAAGTTTGTTTACAAATGCTTTTGTGCCGTTATCAAATGTTATGGCTGAACTAAACTTACCACCTTCCGGCATCGGCATCGAATTCCATCCACCGCCTCGTGACAAACTCCAATCAGGTACCTCAGTGTTTCCAGCAATGCCTGCAAATGCAGTAGGTCCTCCTTCCTATCACCATCCACCGACTCCCCGAAAACCGTCAACAGGTTCCGCTACGGAGGAGTTCTGTCGATGTCTTCTCGGTCGCGGTTCACTCTGACTTTGGTTAGAAGCACGGACTGAAGAAATCTGTAGCAACAATGGCAACAAGCGCGAGTCTTTGACAGCTCAACATCGTTTACTTCTAAGCAAATGTTAAACCGATGTGTTCACCCCTAATCATTTTGGCATATGATCTTTTGTTATACAAAAGAAAAGCAGATAACAACTAAACGTCATAATGACATGCTGTTTGACAACAGGCTCTCCCTTTAAATTTTCGTTAGAGAAAAAGAGATAACATACGGTACTTCCTACTTTAAGCTAGTACATATGAGTAGATAGTGTTGCCGTGAGGTACACTCGAAAACTGCAAATGTAAGTGCGTCAAATCAAATTTCGAGCCGCTCCGTCTGTCACTTCGTTTGTGGTTTATACGGTATGCAGATTAGCGAGGTGTCAATTAAAAAGTGTTCAGATTAAAGACAGTCAGACTACCGTGGAGTGCCCCCTGAAGTTCTATAGTCTCCTGAAGATCTACGAAATTTTTTGATGATCTTCAACGTCCCCTAACTTTTACATAGATCGTTGAAATCAAATAAAGTTTCCTTAATTTCCCAGAATTTCTGTAAAGGCTCGTTTTGACGTAGGACTACGTCTTTGATTTCTATATGGGGGTACACTTTGTGAAAACCGAAAATGGAACATGTAACAAATTAAGAAAGATTTTGAACGTTAATAACTCACCTGCCCCTGGTCCAATTTCAATAATTTTATCACTAATAGATCAGAAATACACGCAATACATACACACAAAATCAGAACACGGCTTTTTCAAGGGTCGTTCGACCTCGACCAACTTACTTGAATTTATAGACTATTCATTGAATGCAATGGATAATGGAAACCACGTAGAAGCTCTCTATACAGACTTTAGCAAGGCATTTGACCGCATTGACATACCAATGTTACTCTTTAAACTGCAAAAAATTGGAATTAAGTCAGGGCTCCTGAAATGGCTTGAATCATATTTAACTACCCGCCAACAAATAATTAAATTCAACGGAAAGAAATCGAGCCCAATTCAAGTCACTTCAGACGTCCCCCAAGGCTCTCATTTGGGACCTCTCCTTTTCATTCTATACGTAAACGACATATCTTACATTCTCAAAAAACTTAAATTGCTTATTTATGCCGACGACATGAAGCTCTTTTTGGAAATAAGAAATGAAGAAGACATCAATATATTCCGGAATGAAATACACATATTCTACATATGGTGCAAAAAAAGTCTACTAGAATTGAATGTAAAAAAATGTAACTTAATATCATTTAGTAGAAAAAGAACAACTTCAAACATTTCAATTGCATTAGGAAATCAAACTGTAGACAAATGTGAAAGAGTTAGGGATTTAGGAATTATCTTAGACTCTAAGCTAACTTTCATAGACCATTATTTACAATACAATTATTCACAGGGCAAATGCTAGGCTTTATCAAGCGCTTTTGCTATAACTGTCAGGACCCTTACACAATTAAAACACTATATATTGCCTATGTGAGGTCAATACTGGAATATTGCAGCATTGTATGGTCTCCATTTTCAATCACGCACGAAGAAAGATTAGAATCAGTACAAAAACAATTTCTATTATACGCTCTTCGTAAATTAGGTTGGACTTCATTTCCTCTTCCATCATATGAAGCACGCTGCATGCTTATAAACATACAAACATTAAAAGAGCGTCGTGAATATGCAATGGTTTCATTTGTAAATGATATCGTTTCGCAGCGAATTGACTCAACAGAACTTTTATCAAAATTAAACTTCCATGCACCCACTCGGCAACTCCGAAATCGAAATTTATTTGCCATAAAACATCATCGCACAAATTATGCAAAATATGGGCCATTAAACCGCATGATGGCCTCTTACAATAAACACTGCGAAACCATTGACTTTACAATGTCTCGGCATAAACTAAAGCAATATTTTTATTCCATAAGAAATAACAACTCATAAAAGAAAAGACAAGAAAGCTGACACTACTTTTTTTATATAAATATATATTTAAGAAAACCAAAACTGTATTAGTTGTACTAGTCTACGTTGGTTGACGAAATAAATAAATAATAAATATGATTACGCATCGACAATGCTTCCGATTGTTGATTTTCAACAAGAAACTATTGAAAAACTGGTAAATGTCCAGCATTGTCCAAAAGCGTCGAATTACCTAACAAATCCACCAATTACCTACATCCTTCCCCAGCACAGTCGTCAGAGAGTAGTAAGTAGACGAAACAAGTCGAAGTGGCATTCGCCTCCAATCCTCGGGCGCGTGCGAATAGGGAGGATGGAATTGCGTAATATTTTACACACTCATCGCCATACTCAGAACCAAACGCAAATTCTTCAAGATAACCACCATCCGTCGTCTGGCTCGCCGTGGCGGTGTCTAACGTATCTCCGGTCTGATTTACGAGGTGTGCTGAAGGTGTTCCTGAAAAATGAGATCCGTGATGCTGTCACTTACACTAAACACGCCAAACGTAAGCAGCCATGGATGTTATCTACGTTTTGAAGTGACAGAGACGCACTCTGTTTGGTTTCGGAGGTTAAATCATCACCAACTTTGGCAACAAAACGGCTCTTTTTAGGGCCACCAAGCTTATTACAGTAAAGAGTAGGAATAGAATTCATCTACCTGATTGTCCATATTCAAAACCAACGATCACACAAAATGCTCATGTAATCAAACTGGAAGCAGGGGTAATCATTATAATTATAATATTATATTATAATCAACCTTGATCAATTTTGAATCGCCACGGCCGGATATTTTCGATGGAAGAAGCAACAATGTAGCATCTTATTCGACGAAGACGGCAGGAAACATTTGTGAAGCCGAGTTATTTACTAAAGAGAGTGTCGATGAAGAGAATCGATCAATGTAGATAGGACCTATTGAAAAGTGACGTGAGATTTGTTTTCCGTACTGAGTTCCAATGCTACCGAATGCTACCAAATGGGAGGCAGCTCCCACACCTGAACCCTACCAATCGACCCATCAACTCAACCGGGAACCAACGGCTTTACTTCCCGAAGGAAGGCGTGATCAGAGATGTTATGCCTTAGAACATGCCGGTGGCACCGACTGAGATTGGACCCAGGCCTGCTGGGGTGAGAGGTAATCACACTAACCACCGACGCCGATATCTTTCAAGGTGATATCACGGCGAATGAGAACGACCCAAATTTGAGTTTAGTTATCTCAGAAATAAGAAATAAAGTGCAGGAGCTCAGCGATGAGTAAATTTGTATCATGTTTTCTCAGGTTTTTCCAGGATTTTCCAGGGAAAAATTCCCGAATTTGAGAAAAGTAAAGATTGGATTCACTCAGTCCGAGACTGAATAAAATTTTCGTCAATTTCCTCATTTTCTGGCAGATTTTTTTAGGTTTTCCACAGGAAACCATGAGACAAATTTACTCATCGCTGAGTTCCTGCACTTTTGGCGATTATGAGTGAACTTAACTCAAATTTGGGTCGTTCTCATTCGCCGTGTACGCAAAAGGAAAAGAGCCAGTGTCGCTACTTGATAGCAAACTACTCATAATGGGAGGAGTCTTTGTAGCTTTTATACCACTTGGTTGCACATCATTCTGCTCTAACCTGAAAAAATATAAAAGAGCGCTGCTGTATGGCATTAGCTCATCATATTGTGCTTGATCGTCAAGCAGTATAGTTCGGTCTTTGCTCGCTTTGTCGAGTTGTTCGATAAATCTATAGTTTGTTACAAACGTTTGCAGATATACTGCACGTCGCGTCGTCAGTAGTGTCGGTCGCATCGCGTGATGGGAAGACAGCGCTCTCGGAGCCGACTTCGTGAACAAGCGGAGAAGAAGAACAGTGGTGAGGGTAGCTCGGTACCTACCTCAAATAGGTACGCTACTCTGCCCACCGATGTTGGAAATACCAACCCAGTCCCTGTGAAGCGGACGAAAAAGAGGAAGAAGAACCAAGGTCAGTCCGATGGTACGAGCGGACGCGACGATGTTACCGCGACGAACGCCAGCGACATCGGTGATTTCGGCGACGCCGTCGAAACCGAGAATTCTGCCGGCCCGAGTGCGGCGAAAATCAAGCTTCCTCCACTGGTGGTGAAGGTAGTGCCACTCAAGACGCTCATTGGCGATTTCGCATCGCTGGGCATCGCAGCTGAGTACAAGATCAGCAGGATCGGCACTAAGGTGATGCTCCGGACGAAAGCGGAATACGAAATCGCAGTCAAATTCCTGAAGGATTCCAATGCGGAATACTTCACGCACGACATCCCCGGTGAAAAACCCTTCAAGGTAGTCATCAGGGGTCTACCGGATGTTGATCCCAAGGCGATCGAAGAAGAACTCAAGGACCGGTACAAGCTGGCCCCAATCGCTGTCTTTCGGATGACGAGGCGAGACGAAAACGTGAAGACGTACCCGGATTGTCTTTTCCTGGTGCACTTCCAGAAGGGAACGGTGACGCTGAATGCGCTGCAGGCTATCCGCTCAATCTACTCCATAATCGTACGATGGGAGCCATACCGTGGAGGCCATCGCGATGTGACCCAGTGCCAACGATGTCTAAACTTTGGACACGGCACTCGCAACTGCAACATCAAGCCACGCTGTAGCAACTGCGCTCAAGAACACGCCACTTCCAACTGCCCTGCGGATGGAGCCGTGGCGTTAAAATGCGCCAACTGTGGTGGTGCTCATCAAGGTTCCGACAGACAGTGCTCCAAACGCGAGGACTTCAAACGCATCCGAAAACAGGCGGCAACTAACAACCAACCAGGACGCAAGAAGGACAAAGTCCCGGCATTTCGGACGGAGGATTTCCCGCCCCTTCGTGCTCCTCAGCAAAGGCAAGTGAATTCACGGGTGCATTCCGCTCAAGCAACTTCCGGTGATTCTGCTGGCCAAAGCTCTCCATCCCCCCCTGGATTCTGGAGACAACCAACAGCGCAAAACAACAACCCCGATCTGTTCTCAGCGGATGAACTGATGGAAATCTTCGTCAACATGTCCGGTGCTCTTCGTAAGTGCCGCAATAAGCCCGAACAGATCCAAGTGCTCGGTAAGTTCATCATCCAGTATGGCGTCTAAACCACTAAGTATCGTCACCTGGAATGCTTGCTCTGTAAGAGCAAAAGAGATTGAGCTTGCCGACTTCCTCCGCAAGCACAGCATCGACGTGGGCCTTCTAACCGAGACCCATCTAAAGTTCGGTGACAGCTTCTGGTTGCCTGACCACAACATTATCCGGCTTGATCGCACCAGCTCCAGGGGGGGTGGTGTTGCGGTCGTCGTCAAGAAAGGAATAAAATACCACACTCTGTCCCATATCCGCACCACTATCATCGAGGCCCTTGGTGTGGAGGTGGAGTCGTCGACTGGATACGTCCAGTTCATCGCCGTCTACTGCCCTCGACAGTGTGCCGCCAGCAGTGGACTAGCGGCTAAATTCAAGAAGGACCTGTCCACCATCACCCGTACCGGTTCCCGCTTCGTAGTTGGAGGAGATCTGAATGCTCGCCATGAGGCCTGGCGGAACTACCAGCAGAACCAGAACGGTCGTCTCCTGTTCGACCACTCACAGCATGGGCTGTACTCCGTTTGGTTTTCGGATGAGCCAACATTTATCTCACCGGCGGGCAACCCATCGACACTAGACCTGTTCCTGACAAATATCGGCTTGTCCAAGCCGGTAGCCTTGAACGAACTCAGTTCCGACCACCAACCGGTGGTGTCTGAGCTGGGCTGCAACGTGGCTCCTGCTTCAAGCCTGTGCAAGGACTATCATCGCGTAAACTGGGCCCAGTTTGGACGCGTGGTAGACAGGCACATCATCGACAACCCGCCGCTTGACACCGTGGAGGACATCGACCGAGCGTTGGAGGGACTCCACCAAGCCATAACCGTGGCTGACGAGGCGTGCGTCCGACGAGTTCCTGTGAGGGGTAAGTTTATTGCTATTGATTCCCACACCCAACTCTTAATTCGCCTGAGAAATGTTCGTAGACGCCAGTTTCAGAGGACTGGAGATCAAGCGATGAAACGTGAAATGGCCGATCTGAACAAGGAGATTGCTTCCAGAATGGTCTCACTCCGGAACGAAAGCTTCGGGCGGCTTGTCCAGAATCTGGACGACCGCTCCAGACCATTCTGGAAAGTTGCCAAGGTCTTAAAGACGCACCCTAAACCCATTCCGCCACTAAAAGATGAAAATGATGACGATCGGCTCATAATCACCCCTCAGGAGAAAGCAAATGCGATTGGTGAGCATATTGCCAAATCGCACTTGCTTGGCTCCAACATCCAAAGTCCGCTCGAAGTTCAGGTTGAGCAATGCGTACTCAACTTTGATTCCTCCCCTTGTGCCATCCCTCCGGAGGATAGAATCACAGTGGAACAGATTTGCTCAGCGCTGAAATGCACCAAAAACATGAAGGCCCCCGGGTTTGACGGAATATTCAACCTAGTGTTGAAAAATCTCAGCATGAAGGTTCACTCTCTGCTGGCTGCTGTCTTCAACAGATGCTTGGAACTGCACTACTTTCCTAGCATCTGGAAGACAGCGAAAATCATACCTATCCGCAAACCCGGGAAGGACCCAACGCTAGCTTCAAGCTACTTTAAAATAGGCCTGATAGGACTAGGAACTGTAAATAATAATTAAAATCTCAAATGTACCAAAGTTGAAAAGACGCATCTGTGTCACTTAACAAATTCATACATGTAAACCACACAATCACAAGAAATAAAGATCTTCGAGATAACCGCCATCGGTCGTCTGGCTCGCCGTTGTGGTGTCAAACGTATCTCCGGTCTGATCTACGAGGTGTGCTGAAGGTATCCTGGAAAATGAGGGCCGTGATGCTGTCACCTACACTAAACACGCCAAGCGTGGATGTTCTCTTCAATAAAACGGCCCTTTTCAGGACCATCAAACTTACATTAGTAAAGAGTTGGAATAGAATTTATCTGTGCTTGTTTGTCCATATTCAGAACCACAAGCCCCCAACGACCACACAAAATACTCTCCAGAGTTGTAATCTTGTAACCAAACTTGGAAGCAGGGGTGCAAGTGATTTTGATTGATTCTCTTAATCAACTTTCTCTTTGTAAAAAAAATACTACAAATTTGGTACGCCTACAATTCAAAAACGGAAAGAGTTGAGATAATAGATAATTGATCAATTAAAAGAACTAAATGCTCTTCACATTTATTCCGTCCACTAGCGGTCCTACGTCAAGCTTCCGTACGTGCCCCTAGGCACAGACCCTTCTACTTTTTATACATCAAAACTGAGATCAGAACAAATTTGGGTTGAAGAGTAGCGGTAAAGACATGTGAAGACATTTCATCCATCTCGATGATTTTTTTTCAAAATTCCCCTGACATCCCTGCTGGTAAGCATTAGCCATATTGATTTCTGTCATGCAACATTTCGTACGATCATGATATGAGTCTTCATATGGTTTTGTATTCATTAGAGCTGCTAGGAAAAAATCATAAGATCACCGTAGCATGTAGTTCATACGATTTTCATATCACCGACAAACCGACATGAATGACCATAGCAAAAAACAATAAAATTTCTGACCAAAGCACACTACTGACATCTGGCTCTGAATTCGCGGGAAATATTTAGCAATGAACCCCCATGCAAAAGTTATGAATTGGTTCGTGTCTGATTATTTTTATATATATAAAAAAAATTGTATGGTTTTGACAGTTCGGATACTGTACATTTAAATCTGCGGTTTACGATTTTCGGGCATAAGTCAAATTAAGTGTCATGTCGGTTTGTCAGTGGTCATATCACTGACAAACCGACATGACACTTAATTTTGACTTATGTTGTCAAAGAGGGTTTTAAGTGGGGAAGTCGCCATTAGTGGCGCTTAAGTCAAATAGGAATCTTTACACTAGTTTTTAGAGAATTTTTTTTCGACCCCCAACGCCTGTTCTCTGTGGTTTCACATAACATAATAAATTCTAGCAATATACAACTATGGGATCACATGAAAATTATGTGAAATTCACATGGATATTTTCACTGGTTATGTGATTTATTTTATAAATGTACGTTCCCCCATACCACAGAGAACAGACGTTCAACTTCCGTAAGAAACTTGTGTAAAGATAAGTGGAACATCGCCGTTACGTGGCACTAGCATCTCCTGATTTTCCTCTATAAATCCTCAATTTTCGACTGCTGTCGATACATTTTCTGTTGAAAATTGCCATTCGGCGCTACCGGAACTTAGTGTCTATAGTGTTGTCAAAGAGGGGTTTTTTTTTAAAGTTTGGGGAAGTGGTGCTTAAGTCGAATATGAATCTTTACACAAGTTTTTACAGAAATTTTGTTCGAGCCTCATCGTCTGTTTTCTGTGCCTATACATTTTAGCGATTTTCCCCATACAACTGCCTGCAAGCTCTTTGAGGAACCACTTCCCGTCCACCATGACCTCGGCCTCGACCCAGTTGAGCTTGAAATTCCAGGAATGACCAGATTTGGGCCACTCTACTGATACATACTTACCCTGGATGTGATATCACACACTCTCCAAACATAGACACAACTTTTACTGATCATCCTATTGTTTATTAGAATGTCATCAACATGCCATCCAAGATCGGCGCAGACCTTACGATTTGGTGGAGTTTTGTATAGAGTTTGTGCGAATGTAGTTTTGTATTTCTCTTATCAGTGCAAGATAAATTTACACTATTTGCTTCTTGTATTAAACCTTCGTCTGGGAGAATTGTAGGTTGGTTTTCTTTTTGTTTGATTTTTGGTATTGGTTCAGTTCTAATTGACCCCTAATGAATCCTATCGCTAGAGATGACAGAGCTTTGTTCCGTGTTATTATTTTTTGGTATAAAAAAAAGTCATTCCGATTGCGACAAATTTGGTTCTTTTTCTTTGGTTATTATTTACAAAAACATGTCATTTGCAGGAATGAGTTTGTTTAGCTAAACCTAGTTTGCGTCAGTATTTGTTTTGTTTATAATTTCAATAGCTTTATGTACACCTAACTACCAACGCTTCGGTGGGGCAGAATCCCTCAGGGCCACCCGAAATTTATCCCCGTCAGCTGATAGAACTTGAGATTGAACGGTTGATAGAACTCTCGTAATCGTTCGATTGCCGGCGGTTCGATCCGTGGATGATTGCGACCCTTCGTCTTCCCCAGACAGTGTGGCGATGATCGTTCCTCGGATTTGAGCAGACATGGGAAGCCTTTGGTTGAGTTGAAGTAGAAATGTTTCTCGTTCACTACCCGCTTGAGTCCGAGGAAGTCTTGGACTCGTCCGATTTCCACCGCTGGATCGGCGATCAGCCGCTCGCCACTGACGAAGATCAGCTGGGAGAGCGGGAAGTACTCGAGCCACCGTTCCAGGTGCTTCGCATAGACGCCGATCTTGACGGGACCCCACGTTGTATCCACGATTCCACCGGAGGTCCCGTTGAGGAAGGCCAACTCTTCGAACCGCTTCATGTCTTTTTTTTTGCTGCGGGCTTGTGTGTAGTCGGAGATGGCACGGGTCACCGGGTCTCGGACGACCACCAGCAATTTGGTGCTTGGATTCATGTGGTAGACCCGTTTGGGTGCTTCCTTGGTAATGAAGTAGCTGGGGGTCTTCTCCATGGTGATTTGACCTTCGATAGTCGGTGGCATGTGGTGCCGGTACCAGTGGAGACCCTTGGAGTAGTGTCGATCGAAGAAGTGCACTTCACATCCCGCAGCTCGGACGTCCGGGTGAAGGCGGATGAACTCGAGCAGGGCTCGGGTTCCACTCTTCTTGACTCCGATGATCAGAGCGTCTGGGAGGTGCCGAGATGGACGCAGACCCTGTTGCCTCAAGAAGCGATACTTTGGCGACCCGTCGGAGGCATTGACGAGAAGACCTTTCGAGTCGAACCCGGTGCCATCACCGGTGAGCGGAACTATCCGGACGATCGAGCCGAGGATTTTGATCTGTGGTGCTTCGGTTTCCTCCGTGGGCGTGGTCATCGTGGTGAAGCTCGTGTGGGCCTGAAACATGAGAAATGTGATCAGTTAGGGGCAACTGGGGGGGTGGAAAGCTATGGGCGCATACTTTCTTCCACGTCCGATTGATGCTCGCAATCAGGCATGTGTTGAATGTGTAGGAGACGTACAGCATGCAGATGCAGACGACGATGGTAATCGCGATCGTACGATTACTCAGATTGGAATACCATTTGTAGAACATTCCTGGTGTATTTCTGTGTGCTGTGCAGCAGGTCCGGAACTGAAAAATAAACATCGAAAAAGAGATAATCCGGTTAATATTGTAGCCATCAAAGCGGTAGGGGGAGTTGCATGCATGAAGGAAAGTGGTAACACAAAGTCAAACCAACTATTGCAAAACCGCAGGGGGGTTGAGTGGTGGTAAAAACAAACAGACTTTCGTTCGCATTTGTGAACCCTTCCAAAGCACATAGATAGGTACCAACATGTCAGACAGGAAGATGTGTTTTCCAGCCCGGAGGACAACCCAAGTGAGCGGTACGAATTACAAATCCGGATCGGCTTTTCGCTACATATGCACGGGACCCGACCCTGCCAGATTCAGTGCAATGTGCGAAACTTTCAAATAGGGGACACCGGGAAGAGCCTTTTGGCCTGCAGCAATCGTCGGTATACACAGAAACACTTATTCCGCTTGTCAGAAAAAGAAGTCAGACAGAGGAAAAGCAAGCCTCTTGTGCGTTTGAGTGTGCACAAAAAGTATGCATCCAGGCGCAAACATGTATATGAAGTGTGCGGTGGTGCTGCCGTTCTCGAAAAACGAGTGTCTAAATTTCTAGAATAAATAACCACGTGTGTGTGTGTGTGTTTGTCGTTCCAAGGCAAATGACGCCAACGACTATGAGAGGAAAAGTTTGCCACAGAAGCCTTGGAGCATCAATTTGGGGAGAAAACCGCATTCCTCACACATCGCATCGGTAAGCCTCTGGTTCTTGTAAGGCAAACTATTTGCCTTTCCCATTTTCTCGTTTTGATTTCCCTTCGTCCCCTGCCTGGTCCACGGTTTTCGAGTTGGCTTGTTCTTATGATAATTTAATCATGGCACATCATTTCGTTCGGATCCAGGACGTTTCCGCTTCCCACACAACTTTGACGAACGGACGGCGACCGGGAGTTTGATGATAACGACGACGTGCCTTGCGAGGAATATTCGATGAGCTAATTTTCACCACGTCGACAAAGTTTTTTTTTTCCTCTTTGGGGCGCGAAGGGATCCATCCAGGCTGGATGGCGAAAAAGGCGAGAGCTGTAGTTTGAAATCTTTGTTTTCTTTGACGGTTTTCAGAGGAGACGAGGAGGATGTTTTTCTTTCGGAAGGGTCTGGTTTGATTTAAGAATAACTGAAAATCCAATTAAAATCCGAATTAAAACATGCGGTCGCTAGTTGGATAATCTGGGAAGTGGAACTTGTTCGAGGTGTGCTAGATATAAATTGTGGTGAAATAATATTTGCAGGAGAAACTGATGATAATCGTATTAAATTTTCAGCGTTTCTCAATCACTGGGTCGCAGGCTGCTCTCAATTGGGTCCCAGAAATTCATATGATTTGGTCGTGTTTTCCAAAATTCGAGTAAAAGTTTTATGAATTTAAAATTATGATAGATACTCAATTCTGTTTTTACGCTATTTTATTTGTTTTCGATTTTGCCCTGATGCAGGATGGGTTAAACAAGTTGCATTCAATATGGTTGAACATTGAGAAAATACGATCAAAAATAGAGGCGAAAAATAAATCGCGATTCGATCATTCTGCATCAAACCGTTGTGCAGTACAGTCGGTTGTTTGATTTGCTCGCTCAGTGCCAGTGATATTAATAGTGCTACGCGTTTGTTCACGTTTTCGGTCGTTTCGGTGCATCGCGTGTGATGTCGAAGCGGAAGAAGAAGACAGGCTCGAACCAGGGTTCGAACCCTGCAACCCAGTCTAACGCTGTCCAACGCGGCAAAAAGACGAAGAGAGACGCATCCGACCATGGAAGTATCCATACCCCAAGGAATAATGGTTCCCAGGATAACGCCACAGCAATCAACGGTAGTGACGTCGGTGATTTCGGCGGATCCGTTGAAAAATTGGCCACGGGCGGCCAGAACGGTCCGAAAGTGAAACTTCCACCTCTGGTGGTGAAGTCAGTACCACTCGACAAGCTGGATCAAGAGATGGCATCCCTTGGTGTCGCTGCCGAATACAAGCTGTGCGGGATTGGCACGAAAATCACCCTCCACACCAAAGCGGACTACAACAAAGCTTTGGCTTCGCTGAAGAATTCCAAAGTGGAATTTTTCACACACGCCATCCCGGGCGACAAGCCATTTAAGGTAGTCATCCGAGGCCTTCCGAATTTCGAAACGAAGGTGATCGAAGCTGAAATTAAAGACCGGTACAAGCTGGCCCCCATCGCCGTATTTCGGATCAAGAGGAGGAACGAAAGCCAGAGGAAGTACCAGGATTGCCTTTTCCTGGTACACTTCAAGAAGGGGACGGTGACGCTTAATGCGTTGCAAGCAATCCGCTCGCTCTTCAACGTTATCATCCGTTGGGAGTCCTACCGTGGTGGCCACCGCGATGTAACGCAGTGTCAGCGCTGCCTCAACTTCGGACACGGCACCCGAAATTGCAACATCAACCCACGCTGCAGCTTCTGCACCAAGGACCATGCCTCCTCCGACTGCCCAGATGACAGTCCTGAGGTTATCAAATGTGTCAACTGTGGCGGTGCTCATGACAGGCAGTGCCCCAAACGCGAGGAGTTCAAGCGTATCCGAAAGGATGCATCGACCTCCAACCAACCAGGACGTAAGAAAAATAAGTCCCCGACTTTCGGGCCAGGCGATTTTCCGCCTCTTCGAACCAACCAGCAACCGCGAGTGCAACTCGGTCCCCCCCAACCAACGCCCGGTGAACAAATTCCACTCCCCCTGAATCCTGGAGAACACCGCCAATGCTAGAAGGTATGTACTCGGTGGACGAGTGTTGGAACATGTTCGTCCATGTTACAAGCGCTTTCCGCAAGTGCACCAATAAGAACGAACAGTTTGAAACTATCGTGAAACTGGCTATGCATTATGGCATCTAAACCACTATGCATAGTCACATGGAACGCTTGCTCCTTAACAGCAAAAACCATTGAGCTTGCGGACTTCTCACCGAGACACACCTTAAGTCCGGCGACAGTTGCTGGTTACCGGACCACAACATCATTCGGCTTGATCGTAACAGCTCCAGGGGGGGTGGTGTTGCGATCATCGTCAGAAAAGGGATAAAATACCGCAGTCTGTCCCATATCCGCACCTCTATCATACGTGATACGTCCTGTTCATCGCCGTCTACTGCCCTCGACAATGTGCCGGCAGCAGCGGACTAGCGGCTAAATTCAAGAAAGACCTAGCCACCATCACCCGTACCGGTTCCCGCTTCGTTGTTGGAAGAGATCTGAATGCTCGCCATGAGGCCTGGCGGAACTACCAGCAGAACCAGAACGGTCGTCTGCTGTTCGACCATTCGCAGCATGGGCTGTACTCCGTTTGGTTCTCGGACGAGTCAACATTCATCTCACCGGCAGGCGACCCATCGACGCTAGACCTGTTTCTTACAAATACTGGCTTGTCCAAGCCGGTAGCCTTGAACGAACTCAGCTCCGACCATCAACCGGTGGTGGCTGAACTGGGATACAACGTAGCTCTTGCTCCAAGCCTGCGCAAGGACTACCATCGCGTAAACTGGGCCCAGTTTGGACGCGTGGTAGACAGGCACATCATCGACAACCCGCCGCTTGACTCCGTGGAGGACATCGACCGAGCGATGGGGGGGACTCCACCAAGCCATAACCGTGGCTGACGAGGCGTGTGTCCGACGAGTTCCTGTAAGGGGTAAGTTTATTGCCATTGATTCCCACATCCAACTCTTAATTCGCCTGAGAAATATTCGTAGACGCCAATTTCAGAGGACTGGAGATCTAGCGAGGAAACGTGAAATGGCCAATCTGAACAAGGAGATTGCTTCCAGAATGGTCTCACTCCGGAACGAAAGTTTCGGGCGGCTTGTCCAAAATCTGGACGACCGCTCCAGACCATTCTGACGATCGGCTAATAATCACCCCTCAGGAGAAAGCAAATCCGATTGGTGAGCATATTGCCAAATCGCACTTGCTTGGCTCCAACATCCAAAGTCCGCTCGAAGCTCAGGTTGAGCAATGCGTAGTGAACCTTGATTCCTCCCCTTGAGCCATCCCTCCGGAGGATAGAATCACAGTGGAACAGATTTTCTCAACGCTGAAATGCACCAAAAAATGAAGGCCCCCGGGTTTGACGGAATATTCAACCTAGTATTGAAAAATCTCAGCATGAAGGTTCACTCTCTGCTGGCTGCTGTCTTCAACAGATGCTTGGAACTGCACTACTTTCCCGGGAAGGACCCAACGCTAGATTCAAGCTACAGACCCAAGAGAGAGAGGCGCCAGCTAGCTCTGAAGCCGATCGCATAAACGTCAATGCGAACCAGTCATGATCTGTCACTGCGAACCGAAATTTTGATTCAATAAAGTGGGGGAAGTATTGTTAATCGGAAAAAAATCTGCGTATTGTTTTTTTTTCAAGATAGTTTTTTTGAAATGGCAGTTAATGACGGTGCAGAATACAAATGTTTTTGGACGTTCGGCGTTTCTGCTACTTATTGTGAAGCAGGGAGAGGGTGTTATTAGTAGTTTTCACGCAAAGGATTTATTTTCCATTGAAATAGAGACAACTTGTAGGGATTGAAGTGAACAATCGTTACGTAATTAAAAATTGATTATCGTCTATCCACTAGAAGTATAAAAATCGGAGCAAGCCACAATCATTTTGATGCCGAAAAAGCTAGAAGTCGTACCTAAAGCACAATGTTTCTCAAGTATTCGTACGCTGCTACTCCGAGCTCCTAAAAAATAACCATTTTTTGCACAATACATTGACTATTTGGCGACTACTGTGAAGGAGTGGGTGGTCTATTTCAGATTTCTGACTAAAATAATTGTTAATTTGTGAAATAAAGACATATTTATTGTGTTATCTCTTGATTCTTATTTGAAGTTTTTGTTTCAATTTAGCATACTAATATTGTCAACTTCCAAAAAATCATCATTAATATCACTATCATTTAGTTTTGGAGCATTTAGGTAATCTATGAATCCAGAAAGGTATTCTTGATCATCGGTGGCGTATGATGAATTCCTTATTGGTTGCAT